GCGGCATTATTAAATTGGCGGATACGACGTATTATGAATAAACACCTCAAAATTGTGAAAAAAGCTCATCATTAGTAATTTTTTGTAATCAAAAGCTTCCCTTTCTTTGAGAATCAAATTGAAAGAATGCCTAATTAGCTATCAAACGAGTAGAAGAAGTAGTTTTTTTCGTGCATTTTTTCCATAAAATACATTTTAATTTATAAGGACAGTCAAAATAAGTGATAAAAAGGCATACTACTTAAGCAGTAAGTTTTTACAATATATATATTTTGTTAGTGATCAGAACGAAGCCCGTGAAATGATTGAAATTACTTCAGAGTAGACTTTACGGGAACCAATATCACAACCTGTGTCAATACCGATTAGCGAAAGAGTAATAATCTTTCGCCTATGTAAAAATGTTTTGTGATCCGTGGAGTCTGCTGTACTCTTCAGTGCACCAAAATTAATTTGTAGGCTCCCGCCACAAGGCAGGCTTCATTGACCATTTTCGGCTTATCAGCCGATGTCAGCCAATCATACCCAGTCCCAAGTGGTACACTACCCGAGACTGGAACTGGAGACCTGTTCGATCAGATTATAACGCTCTAACCAATACTATCTAAGACAACCAGCCGATGTGCGGCTGCGCTGGCGTAGGCCTTCGGAAAAGTTAGCTGGTGTCTGGTAGACAACCTGAAAGGCTTTATTGGTATCGACTCGATGATTCGTATCAACAAGGCATGCGAGGATAGAGCTCGAGATCGATTTAGTTTCACCTTTGCTTAACCAGGTTGGTACGTGTTCACGTACACTCTTTTCCAGGCGCCTCGTTTTTCGGCCAATGTATCTACCGGACACCAGCTAACTCTTCCAAAGGCCTACGACAGCGAATGCTCGCCACAACTGAAGCAGCAGCCATACGGTTAGCAAATCCAGTGCTGTGTTGTCAGAAGACGCTGACACAAGCTCTTACACTTCCATGGCCTACACCGACACCGGGTGACGATAGCATTTCGCCCCTACCAACTACCTGCAGTCTCTAAACCAACACGCTGATCTGGCCTACTTGCGCAAATTGACATTGTCCGCAGTGGCCAATCAGCGCCCATGTTAGACACTTATTGATTTTTCTATGTATTTAAACTTTAATTGTTATGTACAGCGTTCATTTCCCTGCAAACGTTTGGCCTGATTACGAGTTGCTGAAAACATTCGTTTGCCGTAAATTGACCTGAAAACTTAGAATTATTGCGTAGGTTTACCTTGGGGCTGGTGTGTGGGTTAGATAACGCTCATACTTACCCTACATAGAATGACGCGCCGATTCCCTTTTTAACCTTGCGTGCGGCTCTCTTAATTCCGTATCCTGTTTAAGCGGCCATATAATTAAGCCTTTCCCGGGTCCTGTTCGAGCGATCGCATTTTCTACCTCTAAGCCTTTTCATTTGATTTTTTTATTACCTATTCTGTTACTGGCAGGTTATGTGAACACGCTTACCCACCACTGACTTCCAGCATTGAAAATTTACTGAATAGAGTTATCTTATTTCCCAAAGAACTTCTTTTCTTGAAATTGCATTTCTTGGAATGCCTGTCTTCCAATGTATACCTTATAAATATGTTTTCTGTTATTTGTGGAATATTGGCAAATGGAAGACCTGCATAGGTACCTATACAGACAACGTTGCTTTAAAAAAGATGACTTCCCACGTTATAACGGTACTTCTGAGCATCGAATCACTCAACTTTACAAATCGATTTTTAAGTCAACAAAAGTCAGGTTCTTCATTTATATGAATCTCATTTCGTATAAAATGCGCGTGAGGTTGCAATATTAGCCTAGGAGGATTGTTTACATAGTAAACAGTCCATATGTCAGACAACGTAGATTGCAGCTTGAAGAGTGCGTCTGAAAATCCTATTTAGAAACAGATTCTACATAAAAACGTAAGTTCTGGAGCATTTTGGGCAAATCCATAAAATTCACAAACTCTTAAGGGCACAAAAATTATCTTCTGGATTATCGTCACGCCGTAAAGTGAGATAGCTCGCATACTGCGATTGGCACTGTGCTACTTTGCTTCTGTCCAATCCTGTTCGTTTTTAGCCAGCCCTTTAATTCACTCAAAAATCATTTGGGACCCTGAAGCAACTGCCTCGGTACAAGACTTTTCAAGGCATTTGATGGGACTACTTGAGGTATAATCTGCTAGCCATGGCGGCTTATTTTCGTAATGGTCATGCTCGGAAAGGATTATTTTTACTGACCTCTAACCAGGACACGAGAATGGGACCGTCCCTTCCAAGTCAGGAAGGGGAGGACTTGCTTTTGTACTAAGAGACAGACCAATAGCAGGCTTATGAATGGTAGATATTCACTTTGCATGTTTCGAAAACAATTTAAAAACGAATTTATTAGACGAGAAAGCATGGTGCTGGAGAAATTAAGAGTATTTAGTGCAGTATCTGCATAAAAAGATAAAATAAATAAATAAATAAACTGGTAAACGTGACCAAAAGATGAAATAACTTTAAGCGTTATCTCGGCCAACCCTTTGTTCACATTGGCGAAGGGCTAGAGAGATGTGCCGAAAATTGTGCCTGATCAATTATACACCCAGCTAGACGTTTCGTGCAGCAGTGAGAGGTTCATCTCCTCACTGGGACCCCAAGTATTCTCATCTACCTATCGGTATCTACTCAAATAATTTAAGTAGTATACCTGCAGGGGACGCTGGTGTACCCATCGATGAGCCGAGTTCCTGGCAGCTACTACAAGTGTTGGTGTTAATTTTAAATAGCGTGTTCATGTGTTATGGCCAGTATTGCGTAAATGACTCAGTTAGGAGTGCGTTAAGGAGTAAGGGTTGGGCTAGTGTCTACGGTATGTTTAGGGTTACGTGCTCTTTGACACAGTGTGCCCCCGGTCGAAGTTCTCCCCAAATATGACCACCTGGACCGACTTTGGAGGTTTGTCTGAAAATATGACTTCATGTCAAAATAAATGTCCTGCCAAAATTAAAGTCTGTAATTTATATAAACTTAAGCAAATTAAAAAATGTCTTCAATCAATTTCCTACTTCAAAATTGCTTATCATCGCAGTATACTGAAGAAGGCTAAATTCCGTCATCTTCCTTTCTTAGTATGCGCAGAGGACATTCACAAATGTTCCCTTCAACGGCAACGTTTTCGTGTGCAATGAATGTAATCGGCATCCGATTTTGACCATTTTGGTCCACCGTGGTTACTTCTAGGCACTGTTCTCTCGTCAATAATGCTTGAACGTGTAACCTTTGCAACGTCAAAAACAACAACCCAACGATCACGTGGTTGTTGTTCGACTTCCGATTCCCGTGTGTGTGGTCAAACGTAACGTCCGACACGAAGTCTTATACCATGATACTCGCAAGGCAGGAGACAGAAAAGGGACAAAATGTCATGCGTTCTCGGCAGGTATTTGCTTACGGTCCCAGTTCTGGACAGAAGGGTTAACTGTCGCTTTTTTGGCAAAAAGGGTCAGCAAGTTGCATAACCTAATTGATAAGAATAAATTATTTACAAGCTTCTCTAAAACAATGCAATTCCTTACGTTTGCCTCTACCTGATTTAATTGGCGTAATATCGGATTTGACAAAGTAGTTTAAACCTAGCTGGCATATATAATCTATCCTTGCTTTCCAAGATAGCCAGGAGAACAGGACCGTATAGGTGGTTTGTCCCATATGCCAAGGAAATGTTGGTAGGTGTAGAGTAAAGTCAACGGCTATATTTAAGGCAATTAAGGAGTTAAGTTAGGATTAAGGTTTGGTGTTGTAACTTGGCATACTAACAGGTCAGGTACCATGTAAAGGATCAGACACCCGTGTTTCGCCGGTATTCTGCCGCTGCTTAACACAGCTGCGAGGGTTCGGGCTGATCCGTGGGTTCCCCCAGTTTTTTCCTATTTACTTTCTGGTTTATATGCCGGTTCCGAAATTCAGCTTTTTAATTGCCTTTTAGCTAGTACGGTAAGTTACAAAATCACTACAGTAGTTGCCGGTTATTAAGCACACGGTAAATAGGCCCCCCGCGTATTAAGCCCAAATCAGCTTGGGAAGGAATTTTACATAGCGAAATCCGCCGGCTAATAAGCCCATTCGCCGGCTGCAAAGCCAAGTTTGCCAACAGGATAGAGTGAGATTCTCATCTCTCTCACCTAGTTACCTAATTTCGGCCACTCTTACGCAAAACAAGATGCCGGATGTGATTGGTTTTCATTTTCCAAGTTAAATTTTGCGACACGCTGTTTGGACGGCAGCAGACATGAGGGGTCAGGAGGACAAATCCTCAACACGAGAAAGCCGCACGCGCAATAGGCTAACGCACCCGAGCCGCAGCGCTGAGGTGAATAAGAGCACAAAAGAAAACTGCTGGCAAAAAGGCGGTTTTAAAACCCCTGATGTTGTTGCTGGTCCTGATGTTGGTGCTGCCGATGTCTTGCATCCTTCGCCAGGAATCGATGAGGAAGAATTTCTTAAGTGGGCGGACATCGATGCAGATGTTGGAGTCACTGATGAAACAAGCAAGAAAGATTTTGAGCAGAACTTGGTCAGTGAAATTATTCAGAAGGAAGAAGTGAAGAATGGAGGAGAAGCAAATGATGATGATGATGAGGACAAAGAGCCAGTTGCCGCTGCTGCACAGATGACAACTGCTATCTT